GTCCAAAAAACACACCAAACAAACGACCCCCCCCCCAAAAAAAAAAACAACAACCCCACAACAACAACCCAACCTAAAGCCACCCCCCCCCCCTCAAGAAAAAAAAATCGACCCAGACGCATGCCACGAGGTTATTCAAAATTTCCAGTGGGGTATAGAAGCTTGTATGCACAGAATTGGTTAGCACCTGGAGATTTAAATAGCCATTTCCTGCCCAGAGTTTATTTAAAAGTATCAATTTTGCATGTTCTTCAATGCACAAGTTACTGACAACTTGAAATATAACGATAATATGGTTGACTGTAAAGAAGTTGCAAAATTTTGCTTTCTTCTTAATTTGGTTTGAAATACAAAAAAAAGAAGAAGATATTTTTCGAAAATGTTGATTAATTATTTTTATATTGACAAATGGAAGGTCCTGCTAGTTGAAAATAATTTGTTTTAAAAGTTGTATTGGAACGGACTAAAGATGGCCAGGGTATTACCTTTTAAATGGGTCCTCTTTTTTCAGACATCCAGTATCTCATATAGAGGAAGGAACTATCATGTAATGTACATTTTTTTTGCTCAAAGCACTAAAAAGATTGTTGTTTTATACCCTCACCAACACAATTGTGATCTTTTAGGAAACGTGATGAGGGCCAGACTTGGTCGAGTGTGAACAAGTTTCCAGCAGGAAGATGAAGAAGCTTGTTAACACAGTATACTTCCCAACTAGCGTATTTTACTACCTCTCATTTGTCATGGTACAGGTTCTTTGAACTCTTTAAGTTTATGAGAGCCTTAAAAACTCGCCAAAGCAACTCAAGTTTAGAACATCCCTTTGGGAATTCGAACCAAGGCCATTCTGACCGTAGTACTACATGATACCAACTGAGCTATCAGTGCACTCTTGCTATTCTTCGATTTTAGGGGTACACTAATCTTTACATGCACATGACTTTAGTTATATCAAATACATTACTCATACTGTCTAACAGCAAATGAGAGACACAACCAGCTAGTAAAAATATTTGCTCAAATCTGAAAAACAAAAACAAACAACCCCCCAACCCCCCCAAAAAAAAACAACAAAACAAACAACCCCCTATACGACCGAAAACACAACTCAAAGCACCCCCCCCCCCCAAAAAAAAACCAAAAAAAAAAACCAAACAAAAAACAACAGCATCTAAAGGTTCACTTCTTTCCCACCGAGACCGCATTTACGACCTGGCCCCAGTGCACTCTGATTTGATCAAGTGTTTGATCAGTTCTGTCCTTGCGCTTGTTTGGCCGAACGGCGTAACAAAACCCACTGCACTTTATCAAGAGATGGAGTTTCTTTCAGAGTGCTGTAGCATTATTATATTATAGGCTAATGCAACGACCCCTCTTTCGTCACTGATTTGACCTCGTCTATGTTACATGAGTGCTGTCCCTTTTTTGCTGTCATCATCAATGCCTTTCTCACACTATATTAGGGTCTAAACCACGAACGAACACTTTGAAACAAAACTTTCCACCTTTTCCCTATCCCGAGCTAGCCTCTTGATATTATTCCATGTCTTCCCACTTTCCTGTACATCATTTTCTGTGACTATTCTCCTGGTTCTAAGTGGTCTTCCCCTGGATATCTTACCCTGTAGATTCCAATTCTGCACTTTCTTTGTTATTCAGCTTTCTGGCTTCCTTAGAGTACGTCCAATCCATCAACTCCGCCTCCTTCATCTCCGACTGTGGGTGGTTGGCGGGTGCTCTGTTGTGTTTTTTTTTCTTTCTTTCCTATCAAACATCTATCATCTTTATCTCTCTTCCTTCTTTTTGTTTTCGTTACTCTTTCGTAACACCTCTAATCTTCGGCATTTATATGACATTATTGTGTTGCAAGTGCCGTAAAACACTTACTAAGCATCTCCGACTGACCCTTTTTGCGCTTGTGGCTGAATCTCGAAATGTACTCACTACTTACTACACGTCAGTGCAATAAAAGTCTTTGTGGAGTTAACACCACAAAATCAGCCTGCTCTGTGGTGTAACTAAATTTCTCTGTTGAAGAGTGTCATCACACTTAACGAATTCATTTCTAACCCAGTGGCTTAGGCATCAGAACAATATTATGCAAATGGCAGTGTGTCTATTTTTTGTATTTTTATTAACCGACTGTGAACATATCCTATGTATTTTGGTTAACTTATGCATCGCATTGTGTGCATTACACAACTTTTTTGGTTCACTCATAATGATGTGTGTGTGCGCGTCTGTGTGATTGCTTGTGTGTGTGTGTGTGTGTGTGTGTGTGTGTGTGTGTGTGTGTGTGTGTGTGTGTGTGAGTGTGTGTGTGTATGTGTGTGTGCGTGTGTGTGTCGTTATTCGTTTATATTAGCAAATATTATCATATTTTTTTCACGGTAATTGTTGTGTATTTTGATATAATATGTAAAGCGCCTAAAGCTGTGTATACACTGGAATAGGCGCTAATGCACTATAAGTTGTCATTATCAGATATCTGTGCTAAGAATGGCGTTGTTGAAAGCCTCTCTCTTGTGTTTGCAGTCCGATCGTCTTCCCTTCTGCAAACTTTTCCCCTTCAAGTGCCAGATGTGAAACGTACATTAGCGACCATGGTTTGCCACTTATTTCTTTGCACCGCTGCTCAAAAAATTTTACCTCTTACACCAGTCGATGGGGGCTCTCGTGGCCTAGAGGTTAAGGTGTTCGCCTCTCATTCAATAGGTCCCGTGTTCGAAGCCGAATAGCGACGGCAAATTTTCTTCTAAACCATGTTCTCCTTTTAAATCCTTTCCTCTCTCTAACCATGTTCTGTCTTCCTCTTTCGTCTCCACGCTCTGCCCCCACCCCCTCACCTCCTTTATCCCCTCCTATGGGCTCCTGACTCTTTCTGCAGCTTTTCTACTGCTTCTCTTTGGCCCCTTCTTATTGCTGTCTTTCAGCGACACCCCTTGATCTTATGGTAGGTAAGATCTACACCTAGCCCTCTCGGACAAGGGCGGAAAATCTCGGAGGTCCCGAGTGTAAGTTGGGCACCGTAAAGATCCCTTGGTGGTCCAAAATAGATAAGACTAGGCTTCGGCCACCACCGGGCAAATTCTAAATTTCCTACCAACTAAAAATGTTTTGTGTATCCCGCGCGCCCATATTACCTTATGCAGTTGCGAGCGCCGTAAAAACACTAACCAAAAACCCCCCAAACCAAACTCCCTAAAAAAACAAACAAACAAACAAACTAAAAAGCAACAACCCAAAAAAGAAGAAAAAAAAAACACCAGGCGACCCCCACCCCCTTCAATCGTAAATTTCCAACTTCTATTCAAGATATATGAGTTTGTTTTTCGTAAAAAGAAAGATAAACGAGAACGCTTTAAGTAAGATGATAACAATAACTCGACATTATGCCCCAAAACTGAGCACCGCATGATTCTACCGCGTTTTAGCTCCTATATCATTCTGGTAATTCCCTGTCACTTATCTGTACACACTTTTACACATAGAATTAAACAATAAGAAAGAATAACAAACTTGGACAAAGAGAAGTCTTTATTAAACAACGTAATACAAACAAATTAATCTTGACGAAATTCCTTCTTTGTGAAGTAAGTAATCCATTTCGCTTGTTTACAGGGCACTGAGCTAAATGGAATCACGTTTCGAAAACCCCCCCCACCAAAATAAACGCACAATAAAACAAAACAAAACACTTTTTTGTGGAATGAAAACTGAAACAGTCAATGGTATTTACAATAGAACGAAAATAGTAACTCCAGTATGAACTTTAATGTAAAACTGAAAGTTCGCGAAGAACGCAGAGAAAAGAGCCCTCCAATACCTAGCCACAACCATCCCGCCGGCCGCACAAAACAAAACAAAACAAAACAAAACAAAAAAGCCCAAGGAAACAAAAAAGACACAACAAAACCATCAAAAATCAACAATAGAAGAGTAAACAAAAATAAAAACGAAAACTGAAACACACAAAAAGAGATAAAAATAAAAGTGAACAAAAGAGAGAGAGAAGAGAAGATATTTGGAACAACAACAGCGGCAGCAGTAACACTTACAATCTGCCAACCCCAGAAAATTGTCACGAGAAGGAAAACGACCGCTGAATTTCTGAAGTCACTTATACAACACATTTTGGGATCTGAAACGAATACTAATCTAGTCCTTGGCTTCTTTATTTATACAATTAGAGGTGTTTTCTCTCTAAAACATGGGACACCAAACTTTTTTTAAAAAGTGGGACCGTTAAATGAAAGAATGCCGAGCGGTGGACAGGTAACTACTCGTACTTCGTTCAGCCCAATGCACTGAATACAAAATAAACACACTAAATTATAACAAACATAAATAATATTTGTGAAATTCTTGTGTCTGGGCGACTGGGAATGAATGTGCGATCCTCGTTTGCGTAATTCTTATGTTTTTAATGAACGATTTGAAAACGGAGATAAACAAAGTAAAAGTATTGAAGTCAACAAAAGCAAGTTTAATTCGCACGGTAGAGTTCAATGAAAAGACTGAATGATTTTGGTGATTAGGCCCTGAGCACACCACAAACATAATCATCGTCCATTTTTGTTCTCCTTCTCATGGTGACGTGAAGGTGGGTCGGACGAATTGACCTTGCGGCTGGATCTGGAACGCGGGCTGGTCATTTGGAGACCCCTGCTCTAAAACGAGCGTTGTATTGAAACCACAGTTTAAAGGGTATTCAAATTGTAATCTACAACATGTATATATTTATACAGATATTATATATATCAAGAAGATGATCTACATGTTTGTACGGTACACAGTTCAGATTTCGTCAACAAATCACTCTCTTTTGCTTCAACAATTTGACAGTTATTTTATTCAAAACTGGAAGTTATGACAATTCAACAAAAAACAAAACAAAACAACAAAACAAACAAAACTAAAACAAATACCCGACAACGAAACAGGTAGCTTAGTTGGCAAGGCACTAAAAGGAATACCACAGACAATTGTACAAGACGTGGTATGGTGATGATGTTTTTATTTCATGTAAATACATTTCTGTATGTCGTCTGTGATGCCGTTTGTTTTATCAAAGTCACTTCTGCATGTCGTCTTTGATGTTTTATCCTCTCTCCAGAGACTTCTGTATGTAGTCTTTGATGTTTTATTCTCTGTTCAGAGACGTCAGTAGTCTATGATATTAAATCCTCAGTTCAGTATGCAATCGTAACGCATTTTCTTCGTTCAAAGACTTCTGCATGAAATTGTAATGTTTTATTCTCTCTTCAGAGACTTCTATACAATACAGTCTATGGTTTTATTCTGCTTTAAGACACTTCTGTGTGTAGACTGTTTAAAAAAACAACTTCGGTAAGCAATATGTGATGTTTTATGTTCTGCTCAAAGACTTCCGCACGTAACATTGCGATGTTTTACTTTCTGTTCAAAGACTTCTGCATGTAATACATATGTGATGTTTTATATTCAGTTCAAAGATTTCTGTATGAAATCTAAAATGAGTGGGTGTGCCACTCTGGTATAGATGCCGGGGTAGTAAGGTCTGCCGCATCCTGAGCCGAACGACACGATACCCTGCAGGAAGTATCTGCCTCCTGACATGCACATGAGAGGACCCCCAGAATCACCCTGTGGAAAAAGAACACCGTAATCATTATCATCCTTCTCCTCTTCCTCCTCTTCCTCCACCACCTCCTCCTCCTCCTTCATTTTCTTCTTCTCCTCCTTCATCTCCTTCTCCTCTTCCTCCACTTCCTCCTCTTTCATCTTCTTCTTCTCCTCCTCCTCCTCCTCCTCCTTCTCCTCCTCCTTCTCCTCCTCCTCCTCCTCCTCCTCCTTCTCCTCCTCCCTGATTTCTTCTCGTTCCCCTCCTCCATCCCCTCCTCTTTATTATTTTTATCATCATCTTCGTCTTTACTAAATAGAAATGGTCGTGGTCACAATAAAATTAAGAAGAAAGCAAACAATAAAAAGTCAAGAACAACCATAACAACGATAACAGCAATGATGAAAAATAATAAACATGGGAAAGGTAGACTGATAATAATTATGACTCTAGTTCGTGTAGTTTTAGTAAAAGAAAAAGATAACAACAGTTATATGGACAACAATAGCACTAACAAGAATGATAATAGTATTAATAATAATGACGATGACGATGATAATGACAATGATGATGATGATGAACGGAATAATAATAATTAATAACAATAACAAAATAATAATTAAAAAATGGTTATGATTATAAATTTGATGATAATGATAACAATAACAATGATGATGGTTATTGTAAATAATACTAATAATACTAGTTATGACGATGATGATGATGATGATGATGATGATGATGATGATGATGATGATGATGATGATGATGATGATGATGATACTACTACTAATAATAAAGATAATAATAAAAGTAATAATATGTGCCCCCGAAAGCGTTTCTGAACTGACCTGACAAGTATCTATTCCACCGTTGCGGTAGTCTCCGGCACATATTTTGAGGTTATTGATGTACCGTGAACCATAGGATCGGACACAGGAGTTCTGGTCAACAATAGGCAGGTTCACTTTCTGCAGGAGGGGGGTGAGATTACGTCCGCCGTCTGAGGGGAGAGGGAGAGGGAGTAAGTGATGGAGGGGGGAGGAGGGAAAGGGAGAGGAGAAGGGAGGGGAAGGGAGGGTAAGAGGGGAGGAGAAGTGTGAAAGAGAGCGAGGGGAGGTGATGTTTACTTTTAGTAGAGGTTTTACGGCGCTCGCAACTGCATAAGGTCATATGAGCGCCAAGGGGTGGCTGACAACAGAAGTCCTTACAGGGAATCAGACTTACTCTGCTCACCTCTCTAGCCTCAACAGCACAAGGTCTGCTTGGACTATCAAGCACCCCGGAAATATTGGGTCACAAGAGTGTGACAAACATACAAAAGATGTAGAGGAAAAATGACAATAGTAAGGATTAGGAAAGAAAAAGCAGCAGTTCCCTGTTGTGGGTCAGGCACAGTTATGAGTGTGACATTGATGAATCAACCCATTTACAATTCTACTGTACATGAACGAGAAATGTCCCCCCTTTGGGAATGGTCTGAAGACACTTCAGTCAGTGGCACCGCCCCGGGGGGTGGGTGAGGTGAGAGGGAGAGAACGTGGAGAATGAAGGAGTAAAAGGCAGCATGAGAGCGGGAGGGTGAGAGAGGGACAGTGAGAGAAAGGAGAGAGGGAGAAAGAGGCAGGGAAAGAGAGAGAGAGAGAGGGAGAGAGAGAGAGAGAGAGAGAGAGAGAGAGAGAGAGAGAGAGAGAGAGAGAGAGAGAGAGAGAGAGAGTGAAAGAGAGAGAGAAAGAGTGAGAGAGTGAGAGAGACAGAGAAAAAAACAAAGACAGAGACAAAGAGACAGACAGAAGGACAGATACAGAGAGATAGGAACGAGAAAGGCAAAGACAGAAAAGAACGACAAAGAATTTGCCGGGGGGGGGGGGGGGGGGGGCTCTCGTGGCCTAGAGGTTAAGGTGTTGGCCTCTCTTTCAAAGGTCCCGGGTTCGAATCCGGGTAGCGACCGAAACATTTTCTTCTCTAAAATTGTCTCCTTTCACCTCCTTTCCTGCTCTCTAGTAATATTCTGTCGTCTGCTTTCGTCTCCTCTTTCTGTCCCACCCCCTCACCTCCTTTGCCCCCTCCTCTGTGCTCCTAACTCTTTCTGCCTTTCTACTGCTACTCCTTGACTCCTTCTTACAGCTGTCTTTCTGCCACACCCCTGATCTTCTGGTAGGAAAGATCTACACCTAGCCTTCTCGGACAAGGGCGAAAAATCTCGGACCAGGGCCCGTGTGCAAGTTGCGCACGTTAAAGATCCCTTGGTGGTCTAAAATCGA